ATACGTTGAACACGCATTACACGCATTACAGAATATTAACTGTATATAATTGTTAGAAAAAGTCATGAAGTCAAATGTGCAAAAACGGTAAGATGATAAGCCCATTTTCGATGCAAAAGTTCTTAAACGGTCATGTGACCAGTTATGGCATGTTTAGTGTTAAGATACTTGTATAGAATGAATTCGATAGTGTTGAATGAGTTCAAGTAATATAAAGTTTATTTTTAATATTAATATAACTAATATACTTTTTTTTTGCATAGATATGTTCTTTATATTCAGATATCATTTAAAAATACCATTAGTGTTTTAATTACTAATTTTCATTATAAAGAAATATTTACTCTTATAAAATGAATTCAATCGCCATATTCTTTCAAAACTTGAATCACTTAAAACTTTTCTAACTTTTTATGATTAACGACTACATTAGNTCTCCCGGTCAAATGACCGGTTGTGGTAGAAATAGGTATACGACAAGTATTATTCGAAACAAACAAAATACAAAAAAAATAATAATAACAGAATATTAACTGTATATAATTGTTAGAAAAAATCATGAAGTCAAATGTGCAAAAACGGTAAGATGGTAAGCCCATTTTCGATGCAAAAGTTCTTAAACGGTCATGTGAGCAGTTATGGCATGTTTAGTGTTAAGATACTTGTATAGAATGAATTCGATAGTGTTGAATGAGTTCAAGTAATATAAAGATTATTTTTAATATTAATATAACTAATATACTTTTTTTTGCATAGATATGTTCTTTATATTCAGATATCATTTAAAAATACCATTAGAGTTTTAATTACTAATTTTCATTATAAAGAAATATTTACTTTTATAAAATGAATTCAATCTCCATATTCTTTCAAAACTTGAATCACTTAAAACTTTTCTAACTTTTTATGATTAACGACTACATTAGGTTTGTTGGTTTTTTAAATGTTTACGAATATTGTTTTGGATGGTATCCAGATGGATCAATAACAAGTCGCCATGAGCTATAATGTTTTGACAAAAGATTTATTGTTTGTTCAGTTTTTCTTGAATAGGTTCCAGATGATAGTTGATGCTTGTAGACAACATCTAGAGGTGAACAGACAATTAATGAACTTAGTGCACGTGTCGTGGCTTTAATGTAATATTTGACGTAATAGCGATTTTAGTTTTATAAATTTGATGTAAACTAAAAGTAATTGTTAATGACATTTCTTAATGTGTGCCAATAAATTTGTTGTGTAGGGCAAAGATTGAATCATTAGTTTATGTATATTTCTTGAAATAAGAACAGTTTATAATTTTTGTAAGATTTTGTTATTTTGCTTACGTGTCTTTATGGGAGATTTTGCAATCGAAATTTTGACATTTTTCCGTTTATTTAGGGCATTCAAATCTCTACTGGAACTCCAAGCCTGATGACATTGATGCATGTTTTATTACAGTATTGCAAAATTGGGAAAAAAGCAGAATTTATAGTTTTTTTTTATCGCCAAGGGGAATTTATAGCCAATTAAAATTTTTATCACTTTCCGACCCGTGAGTCCAGTTTCAATTTTAATAGGAGCTATGGGTAATGAAGATTAAACAAAGTTTCGAACTTTTCTGACCTCTGAAATAATCAAATTCTTTAAAACTAATAATGAAGTGAACAAATTACTTTTATGGCAAAATATAATACTGAAATTATTGAGTTTTTATGAAGAAAGTCTTAAAAAATTATTTTTAGAAATGTTTAAACGAAATGACTATTAAGTAATCAATTTATGGTTAAAAATATGCTGCTAAAATTATCATTTTTTTCAACATTGAAGTATTATACATGTTCATACCCTTCTCTTCATTAAATAGGCAGTTTGTTTACAATTTTGCCATCGTGGAAAGCTTCTCCAATGATTCCTATGCACAGATCGACAGTGAGCTTTTTAGAGAAAATCCAGGAAAAGAGACTATAAAATTTTAAGAGAGACTGAAGCTAAAGCCTGCTACTTCTTAACAGCTTCTAGTAACAACCTTCGAGCTCATCTGTGATGTAAAGAGAGCATTAAACCTGAATCTAAATTTATTCGAATTAACTATCGATTAATTGTGGGTAGCTTTACCACTTTTATAATGGTAGTTTGGGGACGCAGGCAGAGAACTGAAATGGACATGAAAAATAGAATGAGAAAATCTATTTCTTAAATCTAAACTGTATATTATTTCTCTTTTTTTTAAAACAAACTTCTCCTGAAAATTGAGATTTTTCGAAAAGCTTGATTAATAGGTATTGTATTTTAACGATCTACTACTCAAATTCTATTCAATGCCTTTTGCTGCACTCTTTTGGGAATTGAAACAACATTTTAACAGTACGGAAGTTTAGTTTGCAGTATACAAACCTTCCGTAATCACCAGTGCCGGATTAAGCGTCCTAGGCCATTCAAATTTTTAGGCCCTCAGATAAATTCTTTTTTTTGTCATATATTTTTTATTTATACAAATATAAAAGTATTTATATATCCTTTCATTTAAGAAAGCATATTTAAAATAAAAATAAGTAATAATAAATTAAATTTTACTTTATGTTGTTAAATTGGAATTAAAAAATAATCATAACATTTTGAAAAACTCCGGAATTTATTAACACTTTACAAAATCAACGCTACTATAAAATTATTAGCATAAATAATGTATAAAATTTCTTAAAAAAAGTGTACTTTGTTTACAAATTGAGAATCATTTATAATTTCAATTATTTAATGAACAGTTCAAATTTTTTTACATTTTATACGACATAAAAAGATTAAGCATAAGTATTTCAATATATAAAATTTGATTGAAAGTAATCAGCTGCATGAGTTTTTTCTAAAGTATATAAAACAATAAACAAACACTTACCTTTTAGTAAATAATTTTATAATTATTTATTGATCAAGTAGAATTACAGACACTAAATAATTATAAAACACTAAAAAAAATATGAGACACTTCAGTTGAGGTGCTAAATAACTTCTTTTTCACTTAAAACGTCTCGATAATGTCAACAACATTTAATTTTCTGCTTCTTGTTTAAACAAGTCTCAGCTCGCTATAGTACTGCCTTCAATTTTTTCGCGCGCAAATCAAAATGACAAATTTGAACTTGAAAAACATTGATAAATCTTATAATACATAAACTATAATAATACTTGTAAATAATAACTAAAATAAGCAATAAATAAATATGATTAACATTATGTAAAAAAATTATCGTCTTTTATAAACATATATTTGAAATTGATTTTTTTTAAATCATTGTTTTTCTTAATTTTTTTAAATGTATTTTCAAAAAATCCATTTTAAGGGGGCCCCTAATCATTGGGGGCCCCAGGCCATGGCCTAGTTTGGCTTAATGGGTAATCCAGCACTGGTAATCACCACTCTTAAATTTTACAGATCCAAGAATCTTCTAAGTGATTTTCAGAAGACTCAATAATCTAATATATATAATTCTCTTACGTGGCTCCTAAATTTTGGCTGTATTTCTTTTACGCCGGTGGAAACGTTTGCCTTGTTTTGTTTACGTTACTATTTCTCTTACACGGCGAATTGACCAATGATTGCCGCTAAAAATGTCACATGCCAAATCTAGCTGAGGTGGCTCAACATATAGCGCTTTTAAAAACGGAAACTGAAATAACCAGAGAGCATCAGCTGCGGCAATCTCATACTATTAAGCTAGGCAGAAGTGAGTAGTCTTTGTCGATAGATCTCTATTTTAGTATTTTGTCNACCTCTTGAGGCTCACTTACGAGTTCACCTTCGTTGTTTCTGCAGGTAATAGTTCTTGGTTTAAATTCACTTCGCATATAATTGACTTTTTTGTAAAACTTCCTACATTCATTTTGGTTATTCATGGCTTCCAGATCTTCCAGTGATTTCTCAAAGAAGGCTTTCTTTTTTGCTTTATGTAGTTTCTTTTCTATTCTTCTCAGGTTCTTATATTGTTCTTCAAAGAAACGTGTGCGATGTTTCTGTAACATTAGTCTATATGCCTTATTTTTTTCCTCAGTTGCCTTATGGCAGTCTTCATCGAACCATTCGTTTTTGGAAGGACGCCCCAGTTCTGGAATAGTATCACTTGCAGATTTCAAGACAATTAAATTCTAGCTTAGCTTATTAGGTCCAACAGTGTAACGAACAAAGTTTAATGATATTTTCTGATTTGTAAGTTACCAGATGACAAAAGAATACGACCCACTTAAGCCTACTTCTGTAGTGATGATGCATTTTATCCTAGCTACAAAAAAAAGTAAATACTTCATTTATGTATATGGTAGCAAACTGCTTCTTTACGACTCTATTTGTATTCCAACCATACGCTAGAAGCAACCAACTAAGCAACTAGACTAGAAGCAACCAACTAGAAGCAACGCTAGAAGCTAGATTCCAACCAACCAAACGCCAAACGAACGCCATCCAAACGCTAGAAGTAATCTGTGAGTGGAAAAAGGGTCACAAACTGCACCAGGTGCACAGTTTTAGGATCAGGACTTTTTTATTCAAGTTATTTTCATCTAAGTAAGATTAGTAGTAGACCAGTGACATTACTACTCCTCGCTGCGCCTCCCGCACGAGCTTTCGCCCTAACGCCGGTTATGTCACCGCAGGCGCAGTAGACCTGTGACAGTGACACATAGCAGTATTACTAATGGTGGAAGTGATAAAGGTAAATATATATATTTCTTAGAATCCCTGTCAAGTAAAAATCATTATGAAAACCTGTCAATTCCCTGACAAGAAGGGAATGTTAAAAAACGCAAAAAACGTGCTTGATTGCCCAAGAAACAGAGTAGAGTAAAACGGCAAGTGTTAGATACATCTCCAAATTTTATCCAGCAATACATTCGTTCACTTTAAAAGTCTGAATTTTAGAAGTAACTTAGTTCCAAATTAATTTGGATGATTCTATTTATATTCTTGTTTAAATTTAAACCGATATTCCTGATAGTATATAAATATATGATCTGAAAATATTTACCTTGGTCTATGGTGCAGAGAGGACCAACCCACACACCATTTAAACACTTGATCTTGCACACCCGCTTTTGTTCTAAAGGACCAATGACGCCTAAAAACTGCACTTCTTGGACACTAGCAAAATCTTCCCCTCCTCCATCCGGGACGCTTGTACCGTTAACTATGACATCTGGCGGAGAGCACCCCTCTCTAGTTATTGTTCCATCTGAAACATAAATTATATAATTATGTTCTATTAATTCGATCGCATTAAGAAAATTGATTCAATTACAATCTAATTAGAATTTAAGATTGCTAGAGAATTAAATTTTTAAGTTATCAAAATTGAATTTTAATGGAAATGAAAATTTTGAAAACTATTTCGAAAGAAGTTTAAAAAGTAAGTTATGTTATGCTTTTTCGCAAGGATCCTTCTACGGAGGTTGTTGCTAGACATTGCAATGGAGTTTACTTAAAAACTCCAAAACTTGAGCTTATTATGTTATTCTTTTTCACAAGGATCCTTCTACGGAGGTTGCTGCTGGACATTGCAATGGAGTTTATCTAAAAACTCCAAAACTTGGACTTGTTATGTTATGCTTTTTCACAATGATCCTTCTATGGAGGTTGCTGCTAGACATTGCAATGGAGTTTACCTGAAAACTCCAAAATTTGGACTTATTATGTTATGCTTTTTCACAATGATCCTTCTACGGAGGTAGCTGCTAGACATTGCAACGGAATTTACCTGAAAACTCCAAAATTTGGACTTATTATGTTATGCTTTTTCACAAGGATCCTTCTACGGAGGTTGCTGCTAGACATTGCAATGGAGTTTACCTAAAAACTCCAAAACTTGGACATGTGTAGACATTATATGTTTTTTTTCTCAATTAAAAACATTAAAAGTAGTTTTGCATCCATAATATTTTAAAAAAGTGCCACTTTAAAAATAGATGTTTTTGGATACTTAATTTAAATACTTTTATGATAAATTTGCCCAGTGTGTTGGGGAAATATTTTGACACTAAGTGAGTTTCAAACGGTAAAAACTGTTAAAACGGCTTGTAAAAGTCATTTTGATGTATGTCAAAATTTACAGGGTTTGGGCAAAAATATGGAAACACTTTACCCACTCGATGTAAAAAATATTTCTTTTCGTCGCAAATATTTTAGAAGGTTTTACAGGGCAACACTCTTGGCCTTTTAAAGATTATGCTTGGAAGGTTTAAGAAATGATGTCATTTATACCCAAGCAAAGTTCGGGTCGACTAAAATGACGGTAGGAAGTTAAAAGCGTCTTTTCTTTTTTAACACCACCATCACTTAAAAAAATATTGTAATCTAAATATTGCAGCTCTATAGAATGATTTGAAAATTGCTGTTATTGAAACAAGATAGAGGCAAATTTTGTTTGGATTAAAATATCACCATTTTAAAAAATCTTCAAGCACGATGTTTCAAATTCTGCTAACAGTTTTGTCATGGAAAAATTATCCAAAATATTTGCAGCTAAAAGAAAGATAGTTTACATGGAATTAGTAGAAAAAAGTTTCCATATTTTTTTTTCAACCTCTGTATTTTTCAACGTAAAAAATATTCCAAATTCTTTGAAGTTTTGAATGTGACGTGATTAAGAACGACATATTTCCATAGTTCTGCTCTAAATTTCTTTTTATATCTGACAATTTCCTGAACTATCATGGAAATGCTTAGTTATAATCCAATTTATGCCTGACGACTTTATTTCAAATTTTTGTAAAACAACACATAAGCAGCTTAAAAACCGAAAGTTTCTTCAAATTTATTCGCCACGAATTTCTACAAATTCGAATTTTGTTTCGAAGTTCCATTTTTAAAATATTCATCTCCCATATAAATCAACTCTTTGAGATAGACCACAAGAACATTTTATAAAATCTTAAGGGACAATCTATTGACAGAATCTTGCCATTTTTTTTCTTCTTTCTTTTCAAAGAAAAATGTACGTCATAACAAAGCCATCTTTCTCCCCGTATATATTTGCTCATTTAAACTGCACTTTTGTCCAAAATGGAAACTCATAAATTTTTACCGGAAATGTCAACGGAATTCTTTACTTTTACTTCATGCACAAAATTCTATTTCTAAATAAAGATGGTCCGAATATCGGTCGCTTACGACCGAGATATTTCAAAATGCATGTCGAGTGCAACGAGGTGGTCTGAATTCAGTTATCCGTAAAATATAAAGGAAAAAGATATTGAATAATGCGTGTTGTGGGAATTTTTAAATTCACGATTCCATTCCTAAACTAATTCAGTTCCTTTTCTTTGAGTTAAACTGTCAAAAAAGAACGTCCTTAGAACTTTTGGAATATTTTATTCCTTTCAATTAGGGAAAGTATTTTAAGCGGTGGAAAAATTCGAAAATAAGAAGTTTGCCTAGCTGCCTAATTTGCGAACTCTCGGTGGGTGATGGGAAAATGGGGTTTTAAAAAAAGAAGAAAGAAAGAAAAAGGAAAGAAATATAAAAGAAATCTTTTATTTTTGAAAGGACAATTTTAAAAAATGTAATTTAATAAGTAACTTCATTTAGGAAAATTTAGGTGGTTAATTTTTAAAAATTTTTTTTATATTTGTATGCGTTAAAAAAGCATTTAATTAACTGACAGTTTAGAAATTTCCGTTTTAAATTAATAAGGTAATGCAAAAACGTTTTGTATATCTTGATTAAAAAAACTAAACTGAGTTAAACAAATACTCGTAAGATTTTTTTAAAGCTATTTTAAAAATTATTCGTTCTCTAATTTATATGTCCTAATATACCTGCTAAGTTTGCAATTTGGAATTCTTTAATTTATTTCGAATATAATAAAAACATTTTTGCGACCATTTCCCCAAATCTTTTGATAATAATTGATATGTTCTTTGAGTTTTGAGAATAAGTTAATTTTTTTTTTACATCCTATTCATCTTGTAATTTAAGAATGAGTTCTAGCAACTGCATGCCTACCAACCTCTTCCGTTTAAACGGAAGATTTTTTAAAAAATATTTAAAGTGATAGCTAATTTCATAATTTAAAATTTTATTTTTAATTTGAAAAATATGATTTACAATGGTTTAAACTAGCAGTTCCAAAGTAGTGTTCTATGAACTCTAGAGTTTATTAGAAGACTGAGACACAGGACTTTACGAACACAGTTGCTGCAAACTTAATTAATGTTAAATAATTGAACTAACTATAGGTTTCCGATCAAAGTTGAACTAGGCATAAAAAAATGGTACAAATTTGATGCTTATTAAGGTTGCAGTGAATTTGAATGATAATTTGATAGATAATTTGATATCAATATGCCCCAAATTTATAAGTGTATCCAACAAATGTGTGCAATGGGGGAAACCGTACTACCACAAATGACTATTGATTTTAATGATCAGATTTTCATGCTTTAATACTCAATCTTAATAGTTCGAGGGGGAGTACTCAAATACGCTAATTGATTGGTGCATACGATATTTTAAGTTATGAAATCAGTCGGAATAACGTACTTTCTCTGAATAAACATAATTTTTTTTTTTAAGAAATTGAATTTAAAGTGGTAGTACACTTAAACAGACTATTATTTTAAAAAAACAAGCTCTCGAGATATGCCGAAATACGCAAAAAGTAAAATTGACATTAAATGGGTCCAAACTTTGGATTGTTCTCCTGACCAAATTATGGGGACCATATTTTCCAGATTGTGGATACCCCAGATATTTTGGGGGTCAAAAATCCGAAACCATTGCAAAAATAATTATGTTTTTTCAGAGAAAGTTGAGCTTTTGCGTCTGATTCCGTAACTTAAAATATCGTTTGTACTAATTTATTAGCACATTTAATGTCACCCCTTCGAGCCATTAAGATTGAGTCCTGGAACGTAAAGATCCGATCATTTGATCAAAAGTTATTCAGGCTGGTCCATTTTATTTATTTATTATTATTACTTATTTATTTTTGGCACACTGTTCAGCAACGTGTATACAAGTGCATGTAAATTCCAAAATCTATACAAAACATTTAAGTGATTTACATTTTTACAAGCTTATTATTCTAGGGTTATATAGCTAAAAGTCTCAATGTGCTTTATTGGTTGGTTGGTTGGTTCTAATGTCACTTGCCACACGGGCAAGCCTGCTGGGTGAAACCGAGCAAATTTAAGGTAGATTGTGCGTTTTTTGTTTTTCAGTGGCGCCATCTATGGCCAAGAATTCTACCTCTGCCTCACCATACGTCGCACCCGTTTATAGGGCGAACCCATTCATACATCCACAGATCGTAATTTTGACCGGAATCAGCGAATGATCAATCTCCAATTCAGTACCCCCAGAGGTATTGATTTGTTATGGGCACATGGAGGACTTTTGCGACTCGACAGATTTAACGTGCATCAGTCACTTTACTACACGGGGTGTCGTCGGCCGGCGGGGTTCGAACCCACGAACTCTCGGACATGGACCCAGCGCCCTACCGACAAGGCTATCCCTGTCCAATGCTTTATTTATAAGTGCATACGACAAAGCCAGTATAAGTTCATGCAAATGCGAAATGTATGCAAAATATTAAAGTGACGGACATTTTGTGACGCTTACTCTAGGACTATACAGCAAAAAATCTTAATATGCTTTTTTAAAAAAACCCTTTCCCTAGAGTTCCTCAATATATCTTGTATATGTCAAGGCCTCTGTTGTCGACCACCTCTTTTTGTTTATAGGTTTAAGAAATGATGTCANGAAAAGGGAGACGGATGGGTCCCTTGAGGGATAAGTACCGGGGCCCCGCAACGAAACCCCTCGTCGACAGGGGAGCTCTTAACGCTGTTCATCAAACGAAAAGGAGGGATACTTTACGGATAAGGTTCAAGAAAAGTATCACCGCAATGCATAAAACAGTACTGTTTCTTCACTTGAGGGGTAAGAAAGGCATTTATAAAAGGGGGGAGAATTGTGAAATGAATAAATCAACTGTGGCCTTAGAATACTCGGATTTTCTGTGACAGTAAGTGTGTGAGAAGTTTTTGGAGTGTTTTTAGAAACCCAAAGGTTTTTTTTCAACTGATTATGTAAAATATCAAAGTGTTTCAAGGGACATCTGAAAACTACAATGTTTTCGTTTATTTTAAAAAATGTTAAATGATTTATTAACTTAAGAGCGGAGCTTTTCTAAAGGTGGGTCGTAACCCCCCTAACTAGGAGCTGTCTACC